TCTTTCATTTCTTTCTTCCCCATCCCAACTTCTTTCTACCTTTCTTACTTCTCCATGGAGTTCTCTCTCTGTTCTTGTCCCTCAACTTATTTCACCTCTTCCCTAACTCCCACATACTTAGTGACTCTCCTGTCTTTCTCTCCTTCCTTCTTTCTTCCCCTCCTCCCCTAGGAAACATGCCCTCAATTGCCACCGAATGAAGCCTGCTCTTTTCAGTGTCCTATGTGAGATCAAAGAGAAGACTGGTATGTATGCTCCCCTTCACACCCCTTTCCTGGGAATGAAATCCAGCTCACAATAGAGGCAAGGGGAACAGGGCAATGTCTGGGTCCTTGAAGAGCAGGAAGGTAGAAAAGGAACTGAGGACTATATGCAGAGTTCCCCAAGGAAAAAAAAAAAAGAAAAGCCTGCTAGGTGGTTAGATACCATAGACCTAAAGCTAAAAAGAGGTCCCAACCCCTTCATTTTACAGATGAGGCAACTAAGACCAAGGAAGGTTAAATGAAATTGCTCAAAGTTACACAGATAGTAGTGTTGGATAGTAGTGGATTTGAACCCACACCCTAAAGCCTCAATGTTTCATCCTGCATGGCAGGCCTCAGTATCCGAAGCTCACAGGAGGAGGAGCCCGTGGACCCACAGCTGATGCGTTTGGACAACATGCTTCTGGCAGAAGGGGTGGCAGGACCAGAGAAGGGAGGAGGGTCTGCAGCCGCTGCTGCAGCAGCGGCAGCTTCGGGGGGTGGAGTGTCTCCAGACAACTCCATTGAGCACTCTGACTATCGAAGTAAACTGGCCCAGATCCGCCATATCTACCATTCTGAGCTGGAGAAGTATGAACAGGTACAGAGAACCTGTTCTTGGGCCAGAACTTGGGCCAGGTCAAGGAGAAGGGCATTGGGAGACTGTGGAAGGGGTCCCTGCATACCAATCTGACCTCCTGGTCACCCTCCCAGGCATGTAATGAGTTCACTACTCATGTGATGAACCTACTTCGAGAGCAGAGTCGTACAAGGCCTGTGGCTCCCAAGGAAATGGAGCGTATGGTTGGCATCATCCACCGAAAATTCAGTGCCATTCAGATGCAGCTCAAACAGAGTACGTGTGAAGCCGTCATGATCCTTCGTTCCCGGTTCCTGGATGCCAGGTGGGGATTTTGAAATCTAGGATCCCAATCCATGCCTCTTTTACTTGCCCTTTTCCCCTTCCTGACCACTACCAACGATACCCCTCCCCACCACCACAAATCCATCTCTTAGGGGCTTCAGTATTCTCACAAACCCTCTTCCTGTCCCTGCAGAAGAAAACGTCGTAACTTCAGCAAACAGGCCACTGAAGTCTTAAACGAGTATTTCTACTCCCACCTGAGTAACCCTTATCCCAGTGAAGAGGCCAAGGAGGAGCTTGCCAAAAAGTGTGGGATCACTGTCTCCCAGGTAATGGTGTCAGGTACTGTGGAGGGAAGGGCTTCTGTGTCCTGAGGGAGAAGAGTGAGCAAGAGAAGAATAAACTGAGGGGAGGCCTGTCAGCTCTTGGAGGGAGGGAAGAAAAGAGGACAGTCAAGTAGGGAGAGATCAGAGAATGCTACCCTCCCTCTTAGTCCTCTCCTCTCCTCAACCCTGCACTCCAAAGGTCTCCAACTGGTTCGGCAACAAGCGGATCAGATACAAGAAGAATATTGGGAAATTCCAGGAAGAAGCAAATATCTATGCAGTGAAAACTGCTGTGTCTGTCACTCAAGGCGGGCACAGCCGTGCCAGTTCCCCTACACCTCCCTCTTCTGCAGGTTGGACCTCTCATCATTCCTGTTCCATTGGTTTGCCCTCCCTGATTTTGCTTTCTTTTCCTGTCTGATCCAAGTCATGGCAGAAAGGGACCCTACCTGGGTGAGGGTGACCAAACTGAGACAGGGGTTGGAACATATCATAGCATATAGTAGAAGTCCCCTTAGAGAACTTATCCCTGCCTTCTCTTCTAGCAGAGGAGGTCCATAGGAAGGGCCCATTTGGAGGGAATGAGAAGGTGAAATCTTCCCTTTCTGTATTGACAATGTTTTTCACCAGTCCCTTGTATATGGAAGCAAACCTCCTAGGGAAACAGTTCTGTGGTGCTTTGGGAGAGCCTAGGTAGAAGAAATGCAATCTAGATATGCGAGTTTCCCATCTTCCTCTCTATTCTTCTGCTTCCTCATAGGCTCTGGTGGTTCCTTCAACCTGTCAGGATCTGGAGACATGTTCCTAGGGATGCCCGGACTCAATGGAGACTCCTACCCCAGCTCCCAGGTTAGTTGCACAAGGCCATGAGTCTCCTTCTCAATACCTTCCCCCACCCCCACCCCCTGGAACATGCTCACATGCATTTCATCTTGTAATTCTAGAGTGTAAGAACCACTTCTCTTGCCCTGGTCTCCCTTTTCGTATGGGAAAATGGCTTTTGGCAGCTTTTCTTTTGCAGCTCCCTCTCCCCCTCACCCCTACTTTTGCCTCTCTCAGGTGGAATCGCTCCGTCACTCAATGGGCACTGGGGGCTACGGGGATAGCCTTGGGGGAGGCCAGATGTACAGCCCCCGGGAAATGAGGGTGAGTCTGTGTATAGAACCACCTCGACTCTCCCCAGGATTGGAGAGATGTACCCTACACTGTCCTTCCACACCCTTTCTCCAAATGTGAGAACTTCCTCCCTTGCAATCCTGTCTTTCTCCTTTCCTAGGCTAATGGTGGCTGGCAAGAGGCAGTAACCCCATCTTCAGTGACATCCCCAACAGAGGGACCTGGGAGCGTTCACTCTGACACGTCCAACTGATCCAGTCTCTGTCTCAGGGGTGGGGGCACATTGGATGACTCTTGGAGAGGCCCCAGACATCCAGTGGACACACCCCACCCAGAGAAGCACAAGGCAGAGGGGCAAATGGGGTTTTTCCTCATGAAGAAGGCGTCTCAGTTCTGGGGGTGCGAACCACAGGGTGGGAAGGCTCTCCCAAGGGACCCTTCTTTGTTTTCCCCCTTATCCCTGCCCTCTACCCTATTTCTTTTCTTCTTTCTCTTAGTCTTCACTCTCTCTCTCTCTCTCTGACCTGACTTATTCTCTTGCCCTCCCCACTCCACCCCACCCCACCCCACTTATCTACTCTAGAATTGGGCAGAGACGCCACCCTGCCTGCCTAGTGACGCCAAAAATGGGGACAAAATTTCTGGACAGAGGACACAGGCCATGCCCCCTGTGCACCCCGCCCCCTGCCCCCTAAGACAGCTCTTATTACCTCATATGCAGCTCATCTTAAACCAATAGAATCGCTCGGTGGACAAGAGTGTCTGACTCAGATATCTACCTCGGAGGGAGTTTCTGCTACTTTAGAGAAATGTTGACTGGGCTTTGGATTTTTTTTTTTCTTAAAAAAAAAAAAAGAAAAAGAGAACCTGGGATTCATCTGGTTTTGTTTTGTTTTGTTTATTTTTATTTAGTTTTTTTTCCCTTGGGAGGGGGGTGGTAAGTGTATTGATTCTTTTGGTTTCTTTCTTTCCCATATTAGAGTTATAGCCAGGAGTGTCCTGTTATAGGAGGGATGAGCAAACAAATCAAAGAGGACCCAGCCAAACCCACTCCCCAAATGGGTCGGTCAGGGAGCCTAATCAGCAGGGTCTGTTGAAAGAGGAGGAGAAAAACCCTCCCTTCAGACCTTGCTGAGTATTGGAGGCTTTTCATTTGCATGTGCAAATCAGCCTCCCAAATGCTTGGTAATAGCATGACTAAAGGGGATAAATGACCTTCCCATGTATCCCTTCCCAGGAAAGTAATTAGGGAGTGGGTTAACAGAGCTGAGGATTTAGTGACTTTGAAGAAGGAAAAAGTAAAATCACCTGCCCCCTCTCCCAGGGACGAACACATCTTAGTATCTGTTTTTGCATTTTTCTTTATTTTATTGTTATCCTAGCTTGAGGGGGGGGAGGTTGGGGGGCTCATTGCCAAATATATTAAAGAGGAGGGTACACTTGTTGTCTCTCAGTTTCCCCAGAAATGAGGTTTCTATTCTCACCCCAAAATCAGGGGTTATGGGGAAGAGGGAGGGCAACAGGGGCCAAGTGTGGGGGGAAGGAATATTAGAAATGTCTCATATCCCCACCCCTCTCCCCTCCTGGCTAAACCCCTCAAACATCCTCAGGATTTGGTGTGTGTGTTGGGGTGAAGAGGACTCCTCCCATCATAGCTGATCTGGGGTGGGGTCAGGGAGCAAAGGGGATTGTTGGGGGGCAGTTATCTCCTCACTTGTAAACTTGTAGTTTCACAGAACAAATGGCAGTTTTAAATAAAGAAATTTCTTTTTTCCCTGGGTTTGGTGGAGAATTTTTTTTCACACATGTGAGAACTTGAATATCCCTAGGTTTTTACATTCATCCCCACACGAGAGAATCTGGTGGTGTCATAGTTTAGTGGAACAAACTCTGGACTGGAGTCCAGGAGTCCCGAGTTGGACACTTGATTTCACCACTCACTAGTCATGTGACTTCGGGCAAGCCATTTTAATCTCTTTGGCCCTTAGTTTCCTCATGGATTAAATGGGGACTGGCACTACTTACCTCATAGGTAAAAAATTTATAAATCATATATATAAAAGCCACAAATTTAAAAAAATTTATAAACCAGAAATCAATATGTAAATGTTATTTAAAAGTGTTATCCGACTTCCCTTGCCTGACTCTTTCCCTTCTCACCTAGTTTCTTCCAATCCAATACCCTTTTTCCTAGGGAGAATAGGTCTGTCCGTAGTCCTACTATCTGGCAGTCTTTCTATTAGGACAGGCTCAGGTATGCCCATTAGTTCTCAGTGGCTTTGGTTGAGAGTGCCAAGATTTAGAGCATGCTTCTCCCCAGCCCCCATGGGTGTGGCCTTGCTGAGAGTCAGCAGTGCCTGGGTTGGGGGACATAACAGTTTCTTCTGGTACGTCAAGGGCCCTTGTTGAGAACCTAGTTGGATTCCTGGCATTCCCCTGGTGACCAGACAGGAGATTGGGAGAAAAAGGGGAGGAGAGAGACAGGGTGCTAGCTTTACATGAGGTAGTGGCAAAACAGTAAGAGGGTCGAACAGCCAGGAGGCCGGGGAGAAGACAAGATGGCATCACCGACATCTACAGGAGCCTGGGTGCTGATCCTTAGCCTAGGGGGTGAGGGACTCCTCCTGACAAGCCCCCCTAACCTTGAGTACTTCCCCTCTTCCCTGAATATGCCCCCTGCTACTCCACCCAACTGCTACTAACCCTCTCATCATCCCTACTCCTCTTCAAAAACTCTCCTACCTCCCAGACCTGTCCCTCATGTCCTCCTTCCCTATTTCCTTGCCTGATCCTACTTCATTGGTGGCCCCCAACCCTGTCCTGGCTCTGTTCCTTATCTCTGTCCTTCCCCATCCCCACCCCCAACATATCATGCTTTCTCCTTGGGGGCAGTGGTTGGCAGTCAGAACATCTCAGCCAGAATTGGGGAGCCTTTGGTGCTGACCTGCAAGGGGGCCCCTAGGAAACCACCTCAGCAACTTGAATGGAAACTGGTAAGTAGGGGTCCTCTCTTAAGCCTTCTTGCTTTCTGGTCCACATGAACTTTCTCCCCTGTTCGATTACTTGTCATCCTTCTCTGCATAACGTCTGAAGCCTCCTAAACTCTTTCCCCAGAACACAGGTCGGACTGAAGCTTGGAAAGTCCTCTCTCCTGAAGGGGACTCTTGGGAGAGTGTGGCTCGAGTCCTCCCCAATGGCTCCCTCCTCCTGCCAGCTGTTGGGATCCAGGATGAAGGGACATTCAGGTGCAGGGCAACCAACCGCCATGGGAAGGAGATCAAGTCCAACTACCGACTTCGTGTCTACCGTAAGGGCATAAAGAATTTCTCTTTTGTAATCTTCGGTATCCTCGATTGGGGCTTCCTCTCCCATACCCACAGCACCCTCCACCTAGGATGTGAGAACCATCCCCTGAGAGTCCCTGATCATATTTTCCCCTCTAGAGATTCCAGGGAAGCCAGAAATAGTGGACCCTGCCTCTGAACTCATTGCTGGGATCCCCAACAAGGTAGGAGAATTGAAGAGGAAACCAAGACGGGGAATGGAGCATGAGGGTTGGAGGGGACACCCCAGATGGTAAAGATGGAGGGTGATGAGGTCACTCTGGTATACCAGGTAGGAACATGCCTGTCAGAAGGGGGATACCCAGCAGGGACTCTTAGCTGGCATCTGCATGGAAAAGCCCTGGTGCCTGATGGGAAAGGTGAGTGTTTCCTTAAGAAAATCTTCTCCTCTGTAGCCCAAGGCATAATATTTCCTCTCCCTGTGATCTCCACCATCTTAAAAGCCTTCTTCTTCGCCATGGACTTTTCCCCTACCATACCTTGTCCTCCACTTTTTGGGACATGATAGTTTCCCTCTTTCCCCACCAGGAGTGTCTGTGAGGGAGGAGACCAGAAGACATCCTGACACAGGACTTTTCACAGTACAGTCGGAGTTGACAATGACCCCAGCCCGAGGAGGCCCTCTGAACCCCACCTTTTCTTGTAGTCTTAGCCTCAGTCCTAGTGCCCCTGGACGTCGGGTCCTCCACACAGCTCCTATACAACCCAGTGTTTGGGGTGAGAGTTGAGTGGAAGAGAAATTTCTGTGACCCCAGAGACTGAGAAGGAATCTATGCGCTTGTGTATACAGGGTCTTTGGTGGAAGGGGGTGAGGTGTGTACATATCTCAAAGAGGGAAGCAATGTGCTGCAGAGGGGATCTAACTACCATTCCCATCCCCAGAGCCCTTGCCATTGGAGGAAGTTCAACTAGTAGTAGAGCCAGAGGGTGGAACAGTGGCCCCTGGAGGGGCAGTAACCCTGACCTGTGAGACCTCTGCCCAGCCCCCACCACAAATCCATTGGCTCAAGGATGTGAGTGACCCAGTTCTTCAGTGGTACTGTGGGTTTGGTGAAAAGGAGAGCAACCTAAAACAACGGGAGGTGAAAGAGCTGGAGACAATTGATTTGGACTGGGTAGAGGGAAAGGAAGGGGTGGCAGCAGTTACAGAAACACTGGGTGGGGGGAAGATAAAGAAATGGGAATATGATAAGGGGAAACCCTAGTAACCACCCAATATCTCTCCTTCCCTATCCTTTCCCAGGGTTCTCCTCTAGCCATTGCCCCCAGCTCTGTACTGTTCCTTCCTGAGGTTGGAGCCCAAGACCAAGGAATATACAGTTGTGTAGCCACTGACCAAGGTCATAGATCAAAAGAAAGTCCTGGTGTTAGTGTCAGCATCATTGGTGAGAGAAGTTCTCCTGTCCATTTCCTCAATCCCAGAACAGACTGAGAGGCCAAACTCCAGGTCTTAATTCTCCATTCCTTCCTAGCTCCCACTTCCCACACTACCCCCAGAAGGCTGCTCCTGTCCAGACCCCTCTGCCCAACAAGCTTCCTGCTCCACTGCCAGAAAAGCATCCTTAGTTGCAAGAGTGTTTGGCAGGGGGAAGAGAAAGGGGGGAGGGGAGGGTGGATAAAGGAGGTGTTCTTCCCTGGAAGTCTGAGGGATGGAGAAAAAAACAGGTCCTAAGTTCAGTGGGAATACCTCTTCCCTGCCCTTCTCCCCATTCCAGCTCTATCCCCCTTGACTAAGATCTACTTTGATTTTCAGAGACTAGAGAAAATGGCCAAGCAGAAGGTAGGATCATGGACATGTGGGTGGCTGGTGAGGCAAATTGGGAATAACACAGAAGCTGCTCCCTCTCTTTGTCATTAAGTTTTGTCATCTCCCCACAGGCCTTGAGGAAGGCCCAGGACTAGGCTTAGTGGCCCTTGTTCTAGGTGTTTTGGGTAGTCTGGTCATAGCTGCCCTGCTGGTGGGAATCCTTTTGTGGAAAAGACAGCAGCGGCTCCATAGAGAAGAGAGGTAAGTGGAGAGGAATGGGAAGCCTAGGGCCAGAGGGCAGGACCCAACAATCCAGAGCTCTCCCATCTTCCTCCGATAGGAAGGTTCCTGAGTGCCCAGAGGAAGAGGAACAGCGGGCAGAACTTAATCAACCTGAAGAACAGGAAACAGCTGAGAGCAATGTAGGGGGGCCCTGAGCAACCCTTGATACCCATCTGATTCCTTCTATTTTCTTCCCACTCCCCTGCCAACGCTATCCCCCCAACCCCAGCCTCCCTTCCCCATCTCCACTACTTCCCCTAAAAAGTCAACCTCTCTCACATCAACTGAGAGCTCAGCCTGTTCCCTGCTTGTGCCCACTCATCCAAACAATGATTATTAAACATCTGACAATCCTATCGCCTGTGTGTGTCTCACTCCTTCACCAGCTTAAGAACCTCAAAGGAAAGGTGTCAAAACGTTCTTGAGAAGCAGGAATCAGTGAGATTGGGGGGAGGGGAGTTGGGAGGCTCTCAAAGACATACTTTCAATTTTTTTTTTATTGAATTCCTTACAAATTATGGAGTGAGGGTGAGGATGAGGGCAGGGAGACAGAACCCATCCTAGGCATAGAGGAGAAAATTAAATTAAATCAAAAAACGGGGAGAATTAAAGAGCACTTCCTCTTCCTCCCAAATAGGGGAACTTGGGAAGAAGTAGAGAGAAAGTAGACAGTCCCCTTAGCCCATCTCCTCACCCCCTCCCCCAAGCTGAGAATGAAGCTTCATCTGAGCTTAGCAACCAGAGAGGAACAGGCTCTCCAGCTTTCCCACTCAGTATCCAGCTGATTCCCTCTTCCTCACATTTCGAGGGATGAGGATGGGGTAGGCTGTATCTGGCCTCAGCCATGAGAGAGCAGAGACCTAGAAAAAAAGGTTTTGGGGTCCCCCAATACTGATTCTCCCTCTGGTTGGGGGAGGGCCCTAAGAGGGGGCAGCTCAGACACTGAGCAGCCAAAAAAAGAAGAAGATGGCAAGAAGCAGGAAGAGGGAATCCTGCCAGCTGGAGCCTGCACGTCCGGGTCCCAGGTCTACACCTATAAGGAAAATCAAGAGCTAGAGAAAAGAATCTCTTGTCCCAAGGAAAGGGGCTAGAAGAGTCTCATCCTGGGGAAAAGGAACCTGTGGGGATAAGGCTCTCACCTGGGCCCCGGTAGAAAGGCTCATGGGCGTTGAAGACAGTTGTGAAGAAACCAAAGGGAAAGGCACCAACACCAAAAGAAAGGTGGAAGCCTCCAGCATCCCCATATGTCTGGAATCCCTGTTGAGATGAAGAGGTGGTAGTTATGAGTGATAAAAGAAAAATATTTTGGATACAGAGCCATGAAGGGAAAAATTAATACTCACCCCTCTGCTTTCAGGGGCAGGCCTCTGGCCCTGTGGACGTGGTGGTGTTTTCAATCTGTTGGAGATGAAGAAAGATTACAAAAGGAAGCATTCACCCACCTCTTCTCAAGGCTTAAGAGCCTTATCCCCAGAGCCTGACTCTTCCTTCTTTCACTCCCTCTCACCTAGGGTCCTGCTGTTTCTGGCTTCCTCTCCCATAGAGTGGGACAACCTTCTCCCGGCTTATGCCAGCCTTACAAACAGGGCATTCTTGTCTTTCAGGCCGAGTCTCCAACCACTGAAGAGAGAAGTGGAGTATAGTAAATAGGTGGGGGTTTCTACTCCCTAGGACTCTCCATTTCTCAGTACCCATCCCCCACTTCCCATCCCTCTCCATCCACTCACCTGGTGGAGACAAGGCCAGCTTGGTGGGAGGAGAGATCAGAGGTCAGAATAGCTGCAGATAGAAGACACACAGAGGCCCCAGGCCCCAACTCCCTCCCAAGCCTGCTCCCCTCACCACTCAATACTACACACATCCCTTTACCTCTCAGTCTTTTTCAATGTGTCTGATCTCTCAC